ATTACCCCCTTTAAGTTCTGGTTCTGAATGAGCTTTGCTCTTTATAATTTCATTTTGGGGGTTTGCATACACTTTAAAAAGTAGGTGGTGTGCGTCTGGTAGAGCTGGACGAAGGATCGATTCTGGAACCGATTCCCACAATTAATGATACGGAAGAAAGGTTCAGACTCCTTTTTACGTAAACCAACGGTTACCAGTTACTTTAATCTTTAAAAATCTTCTTTAAAAAAAAGAAAAAATTATTGTTGAAAAACAAGTTGATGCTTCGTAAGTAGTGTTCCGAAATCAAGGTTATCCTAAACCCTGAAAATGTTCGGAGCCAACCAGGCTCACTGGAAGAAATCACATCATTAGAAAGTAAGTACATTTGTAATAGGGTTCGGAGTCGATTCCAACGATTCCTAGCTTTCAATAATTGGGAACCTAGCCGCCCGGCACTAGCGTCTGGCAAGCATCATTTCCCCCCTTCTCTATCCCAAAGCCGAGTCAATGATTTGACAACACACCCACACACACGCATGACAGTCACCTTCTGTGTCAGAAGAAGTCGACTAGTCAACCTACTTATCAGCTGCGCGCAGTTTCCGGCAACACAGGCTTGCTTCAGCACAGAAGCTCCGCCCACATTCTGGTCGCTCACATTTGCCGGTGTCGTGCCTTGAGTTTACCCTACTGTAAGATTACCCCCATCCTTCTTTAACACACTAGAAAACAGGAATTGTTCGTCATCGAAAGTGCGGAAAGACTGGAATGTGAACCCTGGGATGGCTCTGAAGAATAATGAACCAGTTTATTTTCCAAACCTGCCACTCATCCCTGCCCTAAATCTCAAGCATCCCGATTTTCCCGATTTTGATTGTGTGTACCCTGATTTTTTTGGTTTAATTTTTAGTTCCGCCTGTTACGCCGGATTTTTCTAAAATCTTACTCTTGCCTTCTTTTCTGTCGTGGGAAGCACTCGTTAAACTTTTAGTCAGCAGAAACTCAGAGAACTATTTTCAGAAATGTCTATGTCGAATTTAGTAGTCGACTCACCAAAAGTTGTCTTCGATCCGTTTGTTATTTCAACTATAATGGAAGTAGTATTGGTATGGCATTCCGACTTGAGACATTATCAAGATCTACTTTCGCCAAAACATGCTTCGTCTGAGTTTTGGTTAGTCGGGCCCGTCATCAAGACCCGCCAGTAAAACTGTTTCAATCGCGCGTTCACACCACGTGACATGACTTCGGCGTGTGAGTTCCGTGTGTGTCGGGGACCGTCGTTGACGGGGTCATTTAAGTTCATGCACACTGGTTGAAGCGTCTTTAGGGACTTATCCGAGGGGGGGAGGGGGGGGGGGGGGGGCGTGTAAAACACTAGGACTAGGAGACCTTGACAAGATACTTCAGGATTAAAAAAAAAAAAGATAAAACACACACAGGCACGCGCGCGATCACACACACACACACGTGCGTGCGCACATACACACATACACCACACACGCGCACAGAGGGAATATGGATATAATAATGGACACCCCTGGAATTTTTTTAAGTCAGCTTGGCAGTGACCTCGGTGATTTGTCGTTGATCCCCATTTTTTTCACCAAGTCCCAATTTTTTTCCCCATTGAGATCCTGACTTTTAGATTTCATAGACTGGCAGGTCTATTTTTCTTGCAGTATCATAGTCGGAGTTGACCCCTTTTGGTTTTTCAACTTTATTTTATTTTTGATAGACCTAACTGCTCAACCACCACCACTCTTCCCCCCTCCAAATGGACACAACTTTAATTCTAGTCAATATTACTCATTTATTTCTTTAGTTAATTAAAATTGTGGTGATTTTGTAGTTTCATTCGTATAAGTCCAAACCAGAACGCCAGAGACTCTGAATAGCCAGGTAATCGTTGAGGAGTGATCTAAGCGTAAGACTGGAAGGAAACACTAAAGTAAAGCCAAAAAATAAAAATTCAAACAAAGAACGATGGCACTTTATCAGCAGTTCCCACCCCCCAATTATTATTCGCCGGATTAGGCCCCAAGAGTGGGGGGGGGGGGGGTTCAGGGCTTGCTCCCCTGACCTAATCATAATATGTAGGGGGGGGTGTTCAGGGGTGGAGGGGTGGGGTTCAGGGGAGCATCCCCCTGAATTTTACCATAATTTGATGTTTTGCAGAGGTTGCATCCCTGTTCTTTGTGTTGCCTATTTGGTCATCAAGACTTCCGGATTTCTTCTCTGGATGTAAACAAATGGATTGTGGACTTAAACGGATGGAACTACTATTACTAGATCACCAAAATCCTTAGCATTCAATCATAATCATGGTCACTCTATGTGTGTAGACTGTGTGAATGTGCGTGGAGTTAAATGTTTGCAAGCAAAAAATCTGATAAAATTCGAAGTGACTATTTCTCCGAACGTTCGGAGAAACAGTGCCGATCTTTATTTCGCTGAACGGTTTCCGGCTTCCGGTCTCTTGATTTTTTGCCTATTTGTGAGAGTTCGGCGCCAACTTTCATTCTACCATTCTGCGAGTTCTGGGAAGGAGCAAATTTTTGGGTCTAGATCTATTTCAATTTTCAAGAGACCTAGTCTAGAGATTTTTAGATGAGTGTAAAAACGTGAAAAAGAAAGGTTTCACAACAGAATTAAATCAAAATTAGAACAGCCCATAAACAACCAAAAAAATTAACAAAAAAGGGAGTATGTCCACCTGTCCAAAGGTTGTTTCAACCCTAAATGTGCGTATAAAAAAAAAAGTACAGGATATTACAAAAATGTAAATTATGGAATCACACACAAGGGGCCTGCCAGTGTCAGTACATGTAATTGGTTTTGGTGGAACTCTCTAACATTTTATAACACATTTAAATATATATATACATGATGTATATTTAGAATCTAATGAAGGTAAGAACATCAAATTGAATGACATTACACTATACAACATCCCCAACAAAAAAAAAAATTAATAGAAAAACAACACATCAGAACAATAACAAGAAAAAAAAATTACACACCAACAAAATAAAACACCACAAAGAGGGAAAAAAATAAAAGAGGAACAGCAAAACAAATCGTGTAACTGTAACGTATTCAACAAACCAACGTGGTGACAACAAGTGAGAAAGACACGAAGTGAAGCTTGAACTTTCTTTCAAAAGTAAAAAGGTTCGGGTTGTTTGTTTTTTTAATTCGGGGACCCAAAAAAATGCCAAAAAATGGAGCCATGATTGATTGGTCGTGACCGAGACAAACGCAGATGCTAGTTCTATGTGTCGTTATCAATAACCCTCCATAGATTTAGATCTAGATCTAGACAGCACACGAGTGAACACAACACATTAAGTTTAAGAGCAGCACCCTTCATAGACAACACCTCATATCTGTAGCGAAAAACTGATTGGAACTGTAGCATTTCTATATAAAAATATTTACTGCGGACATTTTTTGGACTGATTGAATCATATTGTGTATACGAACAATCTTTGGTAGGCCTATAATATAATTTTATAGATCTATAAGATCTAATTATCCAAAATTTGTGGGAAAGGATGTGATTTCTGAGTGTTCGGAGAAATAGTGGCCAGTTTTATTTTCCCGAACGTTCGGAGAAATAGTGCCCAGCTTTATTTTCCCGAACGTTAGGAGAAATAGTGCCGGCCTATAAAATTATGAGATATTGACATTTACCCTTTTAGTTTCTATAACAAAGGTTTAAATACCCCTTCCTTAAAATAGTAAACCAAAGGGTGAAGGCACTGAAGGAACCTTTTAAGTTGGCCTGAAAGGAAGTGGCTATCCTCACCCGCGGTGAGAATAAAAATACGATCGACCTCTCACCCCAGGTGAGACTTGCCACCGTTGGCTATTCTCACCCGCTGTGAAACAAGACCTGTTTTTCCTTCGGAATACTTTCTATCGTTGTGGATGATCAAATGGATAAAAGCAAAGAAAAAATTACGTTATAGCACAAAAGTAAGCTAATTTGATCGTCTACAAAGATGCTATGGCTATTTCACTTTTTGAATCGCGCCGAACTACGCAGGTCGCCATTTTGTTTTGCCCGTGTGGTGTAAAAGAATAGTTGACACCGGCCAGTCTCTATTGGTAACAATCTGACCCCGCATGGACCTGGAGAGATTCACGGGACTGGAGAGACCCGGTACTCACGAGTGAGTAAAAAGAGGGACTGAGTCGATCGGGGCAGACAGCAGTGGCCATTCGAGGCGGGCAGTCGCGCCAGATTACAGAAAGAAATAACATCCATCTAGAAGGGGGCCCCCTATCTTCATCTACAAAGAAACATCAAAAGAACCTGAAACACAAGGTGAGCACTTATTCTACAGCCCGGAAGTTCTCGCAAGACCTTCTCCTCCCCTCTCCTCTCTGTCTCTTTCTGAATACTGCCTATCGGTGTGGACGATCATTTTGACCAAAACAAAGTTAAAAAATGATGTTAAAACACAAAAGTAAATTAATTTGGTCGTCTACAAAGATGCTCTACGGCTATTCAACTTTTCGAATCGAGCCGAACTACGCGGGTCGCCATTTTGTTTTGCCCGGAAGTTCTCGTGCTACTCCTCTCTCTCCACTGCCCACAGACAAAATTGTACGCTTTTAGGCTAACGGTAGTAAGGGAATGTTTGTTCACGGCACATAATTCAAAAATTTTTCTGTTATCACAATGCAGAATTCTGTGGTTCAGGGTGAACGCAAAATTGGTTGGCCTAGATCTAGGCTATAACGGTGAACGCACACCCGTTGAAAATAGCCAAAAGACTCGCCTGAGCTATTCTCACCCAGGGTGAGAGTGAGAATAGAGAGGTGGTTCACAAAGGGGAGCCCATACTCCTGAGGTTTGACTGTAACAGTACTGTAATACTGTACCCACTACTGTAATAGTTAATAGATCTAGACTAGATCTAGATCTAGATTCTAGATCTAGATCTAGATTCTAGATCTAGAAATCTAGATCTAGATCTAGATCTAATAAAAATTCGGCCACAGCCTACCTCAGCTTTTCAACTTTCAACTCGTCATGAGTTTCCTCAATCTGTCTGTGAAACTCGAAACAGTGTTGAGTAGTATGAGAATGAGAGGCCTGATGAGCCTGAACTCCTAAACTAAACCAGTAAACCACTAAACTCTAAACTGACTAAACTGAAGAACACCTTTGGCAAATCTTTGGACGGTAAATCTAGATCTATATATCTAGATTATCTAGTTCTAGATCTTCCCGTTCAGATCCGGGTGTGTGGTGTAGACAGTGTTGTTCGTGATTATCAACAAAGAAGTAGTTTATAAAAATAGATCTTTGCCCACAGTACAGGCACAGGTGGCAAAAAAGTAATAATAAAAACATAAACTTCAAGTGATAGATCTCCTAGAATCTAGATTATCGGTTACTTCCAGCTTCTCTTGTTATTGACATCGTTTTTTTTTTCGCATTGGCTATATTCACGGCACCGTCAACGTAGTTGTGAGGCTACGTTCACGGCGCCCTGAATACAATTTGCAGGCCCTGTTGAGGCTACGCTCACGGTACTAAAGCTTCATTTAAGGGGAGCATCCACTGCCGGTTTATGTATAAGTCAGCCGGTTTTAGTCAGTGGCGACAGGGACGTATATTATATTTGATATTTTGGTCAGCTTCAAGTGTTTGATCACATGAGATGAAGGAAAACAAAGCGCCCTTACCGAATTAGAGTCAGGATATGGGATATGGAAAATTGGATACGGTACATGGGAAACAAGTGGTGAGAGATGGGAAACAGAAGGTGAGATTCGGAAGATGGGACTGGTCATAAAATGTGCACAATAATGACTGTATTGCACCGGGTCAGCCTGGGAACCGACGCAGAATCAATTATTCTTATATAATAACAAACACCTTTTCTCTCTCTCTTTTTCTGTCTGTCTCTCCCCTTTCTCTTTCTTTCTCTCTTTCTCCCCCCCTCTCTATTTTTCTCTGTATCTGTCTGTCTGTCTCTCTCCCCCCTCTCTCTAGTCTCTCTCTCTCTGTGTCTCTCTGTCTCTGTCTCTGTCTCTGTCTCTGTCTCTGTCTCTCTCTCTCTCTCTCTCTCTCTCACACACACACACACACACACACACACACTGCCCACAGACAAAATTGCATGCTTTCAACTCGAGAGCGCTGGAACGTTTGTTTACACCCGTATATCACGGGCTGTCATGTGCCAACACAAGGTCGCGTCCAAGTGAGCCCAAGTCTCGCCCGGACACGAGATAGATCTAGGGCAGTTGAAACATCTTGGTTGGCGCATACATTTTAGTCATATGTATATCCTAATGCGTCATTGTGTAATTGAGAGTTCGTCATTTTCCCTTACACTGGTGAGCTCAGAGCCAGAGCTCATTGGATGGGAAAACGATGAATGGCCGATCTTTGTTTTCCTTCATCTCATGAGAAGGAACCATTGAAGCAGGCCAAAATATTAAATATATATATATACGTCACTGTCATCACTGACTAAGTGTATAAACTGAGTGCATTCGTTTTCATCTCCGTTTCCTGTTGCTCCCAGCTTGACCTTTCCTCCCAGGTGCCGAATCATCAGGAGTGTCTCATATCTCATCACCAGAAACTGAGTTCACCCCTCTCGCTTTCCTCTCCTTTTCCTGCCGCTCCGTTGCAGAGCTGATCCTGAACATTTTACCTTGCAACTAAAATTTTTCCCAGTTCTCTCTCAGCATGTATTCACACTCTATATTTTCATCTATAATATAATCAAAGTATAACTTACAGTAGAGAGATAATAAGTCTTTCTCTTGATGATAACGGCTTGCGAAAATTTGTTGTTCTTTTCTCTAAGTCTAATGAGATGAAGAAGGGTTTGAAAAGTTTCAGGTCGTATCCGAATGTAGGAAACACATTTTTCCTCATCCCTTAAAACTCATCCAGAAGATGATGATATTCTCCAAAATCATCTCTCTTCGTAGAAAAATGCTGAGAGCAGTACCGTTTTGGGACGCGGAGTCTTCTTTTCATCCAAAACAATAAGAATAATTGAAAAGCCTCCATTATTGCTCAACACAGGGGTAGCAAACTAAATACGGTGTAGATCTACTGTGTTAATGACAACACCGGATATTCACGAACGGAAAGCGAGCGGAGACAAAACATATCACGTATTCGTTTCTCTCCCATTTTTATGAGAAGAACAGGAATGCACTCAGTTCATGCTCTAGTGCCGTGAACGTAGCCTCAACTGCGCCTGCAAACTGCATTCAAGGCGCCGTTAACGTAGCCTGCCAACAATGGTCACGGTGCCGTGAATGTAGACACTGCGGGGGTATTTTTTTAACTCATTATTCACACTGTTTTTGTTTGTTATACTATTATAGGTACATGTGAAGACCTAGCCAATTGTAGGATTTAAAAATAACTTATTTAACCATTTAAAAAAAAGTACAATTATCATGTCAATGGCACTGCAAGCTTATGAAAACAGAAAAATGCAAGTGTCGTAAAACAATCCACCCCTTGCAATTCAATTCACTAAGTACCCCCCCAACGTTGTCCTATTTGGAGAAAATGCGTAGGCCTATCTATGGAATCTGAGAGGAATTGGAAATCTGTTTTATTACCAAATCCAGATTTATTTCAAAGCGCTTTTTGTTGACATTCTATTGAATTATCATTTAGATTCAGTCAATTTACTTTTGTTTTTTAAGGATTGAAAGAGCTGTTTTATATATGAACAACACTCGTTAAAATAATGAGGATTATGAGGTGATCTCCCTTTGTTGAGTTGTTTTGATGTCTAGACTGTAGGTGTTGACGTCAGGTTACGTCTTCTGCTAGATTCTAGATAGATCTACAGTTCTCATGGCTCTATGAGTAGGATGTCTTGATCTTGACCTCCCTAAAGACATTGGCAAATGGTAATTTTATTATTAAGTCTCTACCTTTATTAGTTACAGTGTCTTCTAGATTTAAAATCTTCATTGAATTTTTAGTTTCATGAGGAAATGAGACTCCAAGTCAAAATTAATCTTTAATGTCTAACTAATGATTTAGCCAGTCAGCTCTCCAGACTGTAGATCTTGATCTTTTCTAGGCCTGGTATTCTAGATCTATATCTTACACCTTGAGGCTAATTGGTCAATCTAATCACGTGGTCCATTTTTCTGATTTGCTCCGGCAAAGTACAATGGAGGGCTAGAGAGATGCGCATGAGAGCTCATTTGCATAGTAATAATTATTTAAGTTGCAACCCCCTCAGCCCTGCTCGCGACTTGGCGAGTATCTACCCCGTTGTCCGCTCATGTTATTGTTTATATGTGTGTGTGTGTGTGTCTTTAAATTATTGTTGCCAGGGGAGCTAGCCCCCCTGAACCCCTCCCCCCACTGTTGTTACATTGATGTAAACAAGACTTTCCGCTCATGTTATTGTTTCGCATTTGTGTGTTTTCTTTAATATTACCAGGGGGGGAACCTCCCCACTGTTGGTATGATACACGGTGGTCCACCAAAGTTAATTCCCCTGCCCACTCTCAACCACCACCTCTCGCTCACCTCGCCTCGCCAGTCGCCGCTGGCTTGCGCTGTGCGTGCGCGAAGTCGCCCGCGGAACTACTTTTTGCCTTTTGTCCGCACGTAGAGTACTATGAGTGCGTAGTTAGGCTAGGCATGCGTAGTAATCACGGGCCGAGACGGGTGGTCCGGTAAAGTACAATCCAGCCTTTTTCCTTTTGTGCTGCTCGTGTGCAATCTGTTTTTATCAGAGTTACGTGCCTTGTCTAGCTCCACTTTTGGTCCTTTTCCGAGAACGTCAGTCGTCTACTAGTGCAGCAGTCGAGTTCGAAGTGAAAGGCTTTTTGCAAACATTCTTCGAGAAGTTTTCTTCAGTTACTAAACTAGAGTAGCTGGCCCAACCCGCGACCGCTTGTCTCTATACCCTCTGCTTTTAATAAGTATAACTGTTTTCATCATAATTTGCTAAAGAAATGATTATTTATTCTAACCTTTAAATAGTGTACTTCTAACAACTTTCTTGCTCCTGTAGCAATGCCAATCGCCCGCTGCGCCTTGGGCCGGAAATCGGCCTCCGCGCGAGGGCCGCTCGGAATCAGAAGTGACTCTCTTCTAAGTATAGTTATGGGAAAACTCGTGGACGAAAATAAATGAAACTCGGCAACCAATCAGAGGAAAGGTACTAACGACATGCCAGCGTACAATCCCGAACGATTTCTAGAACAGGAGAAATTGCCGTGTATGAGCGAATTTTCTCTGCGGTTCGAAAACTAAACGGAGCTGCAGGTTGATCGCCGACCACACAGGTGCCCCACATGTCTTCTTTATTGCTGTAAAATTTCAGATCTCTGCGTGTAGTACATTTTACGTGCCATCTTAAAATTACCACACATTCATTGATAAAACACCAGAGCTTGAAACTAGATCATGCATTCCAAATGCGAGGTGCCGGCATGCAAGGGACGCGTGATCGCTAGGCGGCATGTGATTGGCTGCCTATAATGAAATAGGTCACCGATGACTTCATCATGGGTTTTCCCGATACCGCTATACTGAGTTTTAGAAGGGGTGAAATAGAAAAGGCACTCAAGACCAGCCCCAAGAACAAAGCCCTAGGACCAGATGACATCACAGCGGAAGCCATAAGAGCTTGTGGAAACATCGGTATACTGTGGCTGAGGCGAATTTTCAACTGAGCCTGGGAACAAAGAAAATACCCAGAAGACTGGCAGGAAGCCATAGTGGTACCATTATGGAAAAAAAAGGGCAACAGACGCGACTGCACAACATATAGAGGCATCTCATTGTTAAGCCACTCAGGAAAAATGTATGCAAAGATACTAGAGCAGCACATATATAAGACCTATTGTAGAGAGAGAAATCTGAGCAAAGCTCAGTTTGGATTCCGAAAGGGAAGATGATGCACGGATGCCGCATTTGCATTACGATAGATATATGCGAGAAAACTAGGAAAACACTTTTGGACAAGAGCAATAAAAACACATATCCTGTAGCACTAAAACATTCTGCCCTTGAAACAATTGATTCCTATCCACCAACATGGATCCACTCATACACTGATGGATCTGCCTTTAAGGCAACAATCAACGCTGGATATGGGTCAGTGATCAACTTACCCAGTGGGATAAAAAAGAAGTCTTCAATTCCAGCGGGTCCTTCTGCTCCAATTTCATTGCCGAACAACAGGCTATCACCAACACAGCAAACTACATCAACTACTTGTTTGACACTAACCCACTTGCTACCACAGACATCGTTATCTTTACAGACAGCCTTTCAACACTAGAGACACTTGAGAGTGGGACTGATGTGAACAAAGATATATTGCACTTGATTTGGAGTCTATATAATTTGATAAGTAGGCACCACGTCAGAGTAGTCCTACAATGGATTCCTGCCCACACTGGGATACCGGGAAATGAAAGAGCTGATGCTCTGGCAAAGAAAGGAGCTAGCCTCCCTCAGCCTGAAATTCCTACGAATTACACCACCTGCTGCCAAATGATCTAGTCAAACCTCAAGGAAGAGTGGATGAATGATTGGGCCACAGGTATGACAGGAAGGAGGATGTATGGCCACATGAATAAACCACTGGTCAAAGATCCAATCAATGAGTTGAGGAGGGGAGATCAATCCATAATCTTCCAACTTAGAACACAACATGTACCCCTCAACCAACATCTCAACCGAATTGGAGTAAAGCAGTCTGCTGCCTGCCCACTATGTGACTACCCCTCAGAGACAGTGGAACATCATCTGTTCTTCTGTAGAAAACTAACTGATTTAAGGGGATGTTTTCTTCCCAAGCTACCCCACACATCTAATTGCCTGTACTCCTCAAGACAACAATTAGAACAGACATGCAGCTATTACAGAGTGGCATCATGCAGAAGAGTAAACGCTCAGATGCTACTGGATCGCTAACAACAACAACAACAACAACAACATGCGAGAAAACAATTGAACAACAACAAAGAATCCCAACATCGTCTTTTGACAGAGTAAACCATGCAAAACTCTGGAAGAGACTCGAAAAGTATTGCGTCAGAGGACAAATGTTAGATAATATCAGAGCTCTATATATACTAACTGCAGAAGCTCATTAAGAACGAAGGAAGGCAATACAGAATGGTTCAAAGTAAGATCTGGAGTACGACAGGGATGCGTTCTGTCTCCCCTCCTGTTTATAATATGGACACAATAATGTAAGAAGCAAACCAAAGCCGAGAAAGCCTAAATGAATTTCTGTTCGCAGACGACCAATGTCTTATTCATCATGACCAACAAAGCCTCAAAAATCACACTACCGAACTCAACAACACCTGTGAGAAATTCAACATGAAAATAAGCACATCAAAAACAGAAGTTATGAAAGTGAACCGAAACCATAGTCCCCTGAACATCCATGTCAATAGTAAACAACTGAAACAGGTGCCGGAGTTTAAATATCTTGGCAGCACTTTTTCTGAAAACGGGTCCATAAACAGAAAAATAAAAATGCGGACTCAAAAAGGCAACGCTGTCACCTACCAACCTACCAGCTCGCACCCCTCCTATCTCATCCAAACATCTTCATGGACACAAAGAAACAGCCTATCACCTCAATATTCATACCAACATTATGTTATCAGTGCCAGGCCTGGACCTTAAGCAAAACCCATGAAAGCAAAATCGACGCCTCCAAAATGAAATTTCTCCGCAAAACCCTTAACATCACAAGACGAGACAGGCAGAGAAATGAAGAAGTAAGAGCAGCTATTGGCACTGAGTCCTGCCTGCGTTACATAGAAAGACAGAGGATAAAATGGTTTGGCCACCTGTTACGCATGTCACCTGACCAGCCAGCCTCGAGAGCCTACAACACCAAGCACTTAGGCTATAAAGGAAGAGGAAGGCCATGCAAAAGGTGGATCGAGGGTGCCAAGGAAACCTTAAGAAAACATAACATCACAACTGGAAGAGCTGCGGAGCTGGCTTACCATTGAAAACTGCATTTACCCTCGACGCTTAACGGCAACAGAGGATAAAAAAGTAAAAGTAAGTAGAAGGGGTGATCGCGTCGCAGTAAAATCGATGTCACGCAATTCAACAAATTTCACGCAAATATTAGTCTTTAAGTTCCAAAGTAATAAAGACATTGAAAAAGTGATAGCAGGACTAGATTCTTCTCTAAAAAGCACATGAAGATACCAAGTTTCATTCATATACTCCAATTCATTACTGACTTATGAACAGTTTTTTTCTCAAAATACATCAAGACATGTCCCACATTTTGGCGATATTTCTCTATATATAATATGAAAGTCCCCAAAAATCCCTATAACTTTTTTATTTATCAATGGATTTTTAAAATTAAAAAACCATAGTTCTTATAATTTACTCTATATTCATTTAAGCCCATTTTTAAGCAATTTGGATAAAAATTTAATTTTTCATTGTAATTGCTATGTTATGTCTGTGCGCGCATGGTCGCGTCCCGTTCCGTATGCGGTTGCGCTGAAGGCATGCGGTCGCACCAAGGGCAGAACAGTAAAATTAAAATGCGAAATCTGCAAATGACATTTTGGAATGAGTGATGATATCACGGTATAAACCGGAAGTTGACACAATGAAGCGGCCCTGAACATGGATTGCCTGACCTATTTTGCTAACAGAGACCGCTGACAAGCAAAATACGACAAGTGGTCGCGGGTTGGGCCAGGTACTCTAGATCTACCACTACGGACTAAGGCAAGGCCAAGGCAGGCTGGGATGCGATTAAACATAGAACGACACAAACTATTTTTAGGTAAGGTGGCCATCTTGTTTGAAGTCAGACCAGGATACCCCTTCGATCATGTGACTACATCTAAATATAGCCAATTGCATGGCACTGAAGATGGAAGTG